CGCCGCGGGCGTAGGGGCTGGAGCACGCCCCCACCACGCCCGGCCACAACATCAGATACAGGTGAGTGCGTGTTGGTGCGCTTGGTAGTGCGCTTGTATCATGTGCTCTTTGTGCGTGAGGAGTGTGTGAGTGATTTAGTGGGTGAGTGCGTGAGTGGGCGAGTGGGTGCGGGACGTCGTTACATGTCCGATGCGATCCGGGTTGCGGTAAAGGAAAGTTAGCAGCGCACCCGAAGCTCGAGTGGAACTACTGTCGTTTGATGCCGGACATATTTCCTGCTTGTTAGTGGAAGTGTGTCCCAAATTCCCAATGAGGAAAATTAGCCCGCTGACCCTCGTCTGTTTCTCTTTCTCCCTGGTCGACGTCGCTCTCTCTCTCTCTCTCTCATCGACCCCCCCCCCCACCCCTTTCCCCCGTCTCCGCGTCCACGACCTGACCGGGCGGTCCCGCGGAAGGCCCAACTCATAGCCGGACGCGTGGCCGTCCCCCCGCCCCGAAACTTTTTCAATTTCCTTTTGAGCGCGTTATACGCGGAGCCCGTCCCAGAAAACCATGTACGCGATACGCCAGACCGCTGCACCGCTACGGCACGGCACGCCACGCCACGCCACGCCACGGCGTGCGCGAGTCTCAAAAACTCACATGCACCGAATGAGATTCGCCCTCTCTCTCTCTCCGCCCTCTATACTTTGCCTGCTATTGCTTTTTGGTCCGCCACAACCACCCTCCCTGCATCATCTTCCTCTTCCATCCTCTGCAGGGTGGCGGGGCGGGGCGTGGCGGGGCGTGGCGTGGCAGCCTGGTCTGGACTTGGCCTGGCATTGCCTTAAAGCACTCCGCACGAGTGCATCCCACCGGGGAACAAAGCCCCCCACTCCGCCTCCATGCACAAGTCCCTCTCCCTCCCCCTTTCACTATCTCTATCCGTCCTTTTCACCGCCCACGCTCCTCTCCAGAACAAGGAGCACAACCCTCCTCCCTCTCGTCCTCCCCCTCTCTCTTTCTCCCTCTCACTTCCTTCTCACTCCCACCACCAGCCCGACTCGACTGCTGCGCACCCTGTGCGCGTCACTCTCTGAGCATACTGTACACCCCGTGCTCCAAGGTTAGCCGGTGGCTGGTGTAGGGAGGACGAGGGAGGGCGGAGAGGAACAGCGAGAGAGAGAGACAGAGACAGAAAGAGAAAGAGAAAGAGGAAGAAAAAGAGAAAGAGAAAGAAAGAGAGCAAGAGCAAAACCAAGTGAGATCGCTTACCTGATTTTAGTTCATTGTTTTTTCAGATTCGGGTAAGTTACTCGAGTGTGGCCGTTTTCAATTTCAGGTATCTGTAGCATTTGACAAAAACGGCTAAAGAATCCTGAAAATGGTCATAATCCGGTTACTTGTATCCTGATCGCAAAAAATGGCACTAGAAACTCAGGTAAGTGGTTTCACCGTGGAGTGGGGAAAGGTGCATGAGGATGCCCTGGTCTCGGACCTATCTTCGTGTCGTGGGTGTAAACTAAACACAACCTACATCACACCCCCACTCGCAAGCAGGGCAGCCAGCGCTCTGGAAAATTATGAAAAACGAAAGAGAACCGGAGAAAAAAGTAAATGAAAAAGCAGCAGCAGCAGTTGGAGGGCGGGCGGGCGGACGGGCGAGTGAGTGAATTCAAGATTCTTATCCTTTATACTCGAGGCGGCAGGGCGAGGCGGGGTGGCGTCAGCAAAACACTCCCCCTTGATGAGACCCGGGTGCGGGTGCCTCCCGGTGCACTGCCTGCTCCTGCTGCTGCTAAATGACTTTTCTTTTCGTGCGCCTCTTTAGAGATCAGCCAGCTGATTTTGCACTCGAATTACTAGAAAAGGAAATGAAATAATTATCGTAAGGTGGGTGGGTGTCACGCCGGGCGAGCATTTGCCTCGTCCAGTCTGGGCTTTTGGGGAGTAAATATAGGCTCTCTGAGTGAGCTGTTTGCGCGTCGTTAGAGTCCTCCCGCCCGCCAGCCCGCCACGCCAGTCTCACGCCGGCCAAAGCTTGCCCTCATTACAGGCAGACCAAGCCTCGCTTCGTAATTTGTTTGAACTGCAGATCCCCTTTTCTTTTTCCTCATCCCCGTGCGCCTGGGCCTTGCAGGCGTTGTGGGGCGGGGCG